ATCCTCCAGAGCTCCTGGCCTCGGAGGTTTGCCAGCAACCAGGTGAGGCTACTCAATTTTGACAGGAGCCATGGGCCAAAGGCTCAAAGGGTGGTGTACAGAAGCCACTCACAGATTAGAGAAGGCATGGCCCGGGCTCTGCCACTTTCCCTCTGGAGAGTGGCATTTGATGTTCCAAACAGACCATCCCATAAGAGGCTGGGTTCTCAGGTTCCTTTTGTTCTGAAATAGGTATTGATCTTGGTCAAGTAGACTAACTACTCTCACCAAGACTGTAAATTAGGCACATAATACCTCATCTGCCTAAATGGAAGCTGGATCAGGTGGTTTCTTGGAATTTCAGGGGTTCAAAAATTCCTCATACAGTGATTCTTAGACCTCTAGGTCCTAAATCTCCCATGACTGGTACTTTTTCAGGTTGGCCCAATCCAGCCTGGAACCACTTCAATGTACCCAGATTGCTGGCCTTACAGAGCTGGGAGGCAGAAGCTGTGGTTTCTGTGCCACTTCCCATTCTCCTGACTATCTTTTCCCTTAGTGTACACTCTGAAGAAGGCAGCCCCTAAGGCACGGGCCCCCAGCCAGCGTCAGCGTAAACCCCGGAGACCTCCTGTTCCTGAGGCACCCGAGGAGATCCCACCAGAAGCTGTGCAGGAATATGTTGACATCATGGAAGAGCTGGTGGGGACTCACTTGGCCACTGGGGAGTCAGATGGAAAACAGAAAGAGGAAGAAGGGCAGCAGCAGGAGGAGGAAGGGCTGTATCCAGATCCAGGTCTTCTGAGCTACATCAACGAGCTGTGTTCTCAGAAGGTCTTTGTCTCCAAGGTGAGCTGGGCCTGCACATCTGGTTTCTAGCAGATCCTTGTGGATACTCCCAGGAACTAATGCTCTGGGGTTTGTCCAAGGTAGTAGGAATTAGGTTTTATTCTGTAACTGAGAAATGTGTGTGCATACATCATGAGAATGTGTATAGTTGGTGGTAGTCAGTTTACAACAATACAGGAGAGGTAAGAGGGGACAGCTGGGGAGCTCATGGCTTCTTCTCTACAGCCCCTTGCCTCACAGGTTACCTGCTTAAGGGCTCATATCACTTTTCCTTCTGTTCTCCAGGTGGAGGCCATCATTCACCCTCAATTTTTGGCAGATCTGCTGTCCCCAGAAAAACACAGAGATCCCTTGGCCTTAATTGAGGAGCTAGAGCAAGAAGAAGGACTCACTTTTGCCCAGGTAAAAATGGGATATAGGGAATATCAGGACAAGAAGCGTGCAAGATGTTATCTAACCCTACACTGTCATGGATAATATGGCTCTAGAGATGAACAGTTTCAGAATTGGGCTTTAGGTGCAGAACAAGTGGGTAGAGGGCTCTGGAAACACAGGAAATGAGAATGTAAGGGTTCAAAGCATGGGAATAAGGCACAAGAAGGTGGGAAAGAGCTGCAGTATCTGTCTTTGCTACCATCGCTTAAACTACTTGCTTGCCTCCCTTGCCCTGCCCAAATACCATCTCTTACCACTCATTCAGTCACCTCTTCTCACAACCATGTGCAGAACTGATTATTTGTCCATTTTCTTCCAGCTGGTCCAGAAGCGACGCTTGGCCTTGGAAGAGGAGGAAGATGTGGAGGCGTCTCTAAGTTACAGTGGAACTCAGCTGGAGTCAAGTCCTTCTGTTTCTGATGAGAATGAAGATGGGGGTGGGCGGTTTTGGCCCTTACCTGGGCTTCGGGGAGCTGGGGGTGCTGTTTACCTTGGAAAGGTTTCTTCTTCAGGAAAACAGGCAAGAGAAGTGCATAGTGGGCAGGAGAGATCCCTAGATAGCTCCAGAGAGATGCACAGGAATGGGAACACTCTGCCAGCCCCCAGCAGTTGGGACCTGCAGCCAGAACTTGCAGCTCCACAGGGAACTTTGGGATCCTTGGGTATGGAGAGGAGAGGGTCTGGGAAGGTTATAAACCAGGTATCTCCATGTCAGGATGGCCACCTAGGAGGTGCTGGGTCTCCTGGGCACTGCCTGGTGGCTGATAGGACTTCAGAGGCTCTGCCCCTTTGCTGGCAGAAAAACTTCCAGCCCAAGAGCGCTCCCAGTTTGGATGTTGGACTTGCAGAGCTGGCTCCTCTGCAAGGACAAGGGTTAGAAAAGCAAATCCTGGGATTGCAGAAAGGAGAACAAACAGGGGATCGTGGAGTGCTTCCTCAAGGGAAGGAGCCTTTGGCAATGCCCCAGGAAGGCTCTTCAGGAGCCATGTGGGGAGATGACAGTGGTACCTCCACAGCTCAGAGTTATGATCAGAATCTTTCCCTTGGAGCAGCTGGGGACAAGGATGAAGTCTCTCTCAGCCTAGGACTCTGGCTGAGCAGTGAGATGGATACTGCAGGCTTGGAGCTGCCCATACAAATAGAAGAGGTCATAGAGAGCTTCCAAATTGAAGAGTGTGCAACTGAGTATCAGGAAGGCTGCCAGGAACTGGGCTCCAGAGGCATTTCCCTGGGTCCTGGAGAAACCATAGTACCTGGGGACACAGACAACAGTGTGATTCCCTGTGGAGGCACAGTTGCAACAGCTGTCCTAGAAAAAGGAAACTATTGCACCTTGCCAGGACCTTTGAGGGCCAACAGCTCAACCTTGATATCCAAAAAAAATCGAGAACAAAGCCATGAAACCATAGGGGATCCCAATGATATATGGGCAGAAGGTTGCTTGCCATTGCTGGAAAGCAGAATTGGTGGTTCCACACTGGGGTCTGCCAGAGAAACCCTCCAGCCCACATGCCAAGGCAATCTCCTTATCAAGGGGACCCAGGATACCTCCTCCTTGCCTGAAGCCAGTCAAGAGGCAGGGAGCAGAGGCAATTCCTTTTCTCCTCTGTTGGAAACCCCAGAACAGGTCAACGTATTAGATGTTAAAGATGACTATGACCTCCAACGAAGGGTCAGTGAGGACACCTACCCACTGAATGTTCATTCTTATGACCCTGAAGGAGAAGGTGGGGTGGATCCTGATCTATCCAAGCCTAAAAACCTTGCTCCTTTACAAGAGTGTCAGGAGTCTTACACAACTGGGAATCTCAAAGCAACATTTCACCAGGGCCTTGGAAACACTTCCCCTAGATGGGGAACCAGGGATGCCATAGTTCTGAGAGAAACTTCTGTTAGTAAAGCAGATAGGGCCAAAAGAAAGGGTAAAAAGAAGGGGAAGGAAGCAGAGAAAGAGGATGAGGAACTCTCCAACTTTGCTTATCTCTTGGCCTCTAAACTTAGCCTCTCACCAAGGGGGCATCCTGTCAGTCCTCACCATACCTCAGGAGGTCAGGACAGCCACAGAGCATCCCACCTGCTCTCTTCTGAGGCAAAAGGCCCCAGCAAACCTCCAAATCCAATTGCCAAGTCTGGGAAGCAAGCTCTAGTTGGAGGTCCAGCCCCTACTGAAAAGAGACCCCACTCAGGAGCTCAACTTGGGGTCCGCAGGGAGAAACCCCTAGCTCTGGGAGTAGTTCAACCCTCACAGCGTCGTAAAAGGCGGCGTGACAGTTTTGTCACGGGCAAAAGGAAGAAACAACGTCGTAGCCAGTAGGGAGAAGCAGGAACATCTGACCCCACTTGCCAGTCCCTAAAGGTGGGTGCCCCAGAGTAGATTCCACCCCTGCTGCTCACCAATGGAGAATCCCAATGTTGAATCTCAGCTCAATGTTGTTTTGTTCTGCAAAAGTGGCAAGCATGGAGAGGAGAGGTCAGACTGGCTAGGCTGCAGGGGGAATTGCCTTTGGAAGGAGTTATATAGAAAAAAAAACAAATAAAGTTTTGTTGGAAAATGCAATCAAAGTGCCCTTTTTCTGTACTCATGTCTTTGCTGCTAGATAGGGTAAGATGCTATAAAGAAAGGCTGTAGGGGTAGTCTCAGATTCTACAAATCCACACATCTTACCTTGTCTCCAGCCTTATCTGGGCTCCCTGCAGCCTCCTCTTGGCAACAGACTGGCTCTCAGGCTGTGATAAGTCCCCAGACTGAGGAATCTCCAATAATCACTTTATATATCCCCTCTTCGCAAGCCTGGACTTGGTGTTGGGAAGGCTTATCTGGGTGTCTTATAAGTATCTGCCTCCCTTAAGTCTATAGATAGAAAGACTTAGATCTCTGAGATAGTAATCTAATTTTCTTTCTTCTTTTTTTGAGATAGGGTCCCATTCTATAGCTTAGACTACAGAGTGCAGTGGTGCAATCATGGCTTACTGTAGCCACGACCTCCTGGGCTTAGACAATCCTCCCATCTTAGCTTCCCAAGTAGCTGGGACTATAGGTGTACACCACCATGTCCAGCTAATTTTTCTATTTCTTTTTGTGTTTGTAGAGACAGAGTTTTGCCATGTCACCCAGGCTGGTCTTGAACTCCTGGGCTCAAGCCATCTGCCCGCCCCCACCTCCCATAATGCTGGGATTACAGGCATGAGCTATTGTGCCCAGTTTAATTTTCTAATTGTCCATAATTGTGTCCAGACAAGGTAACTCTAGGGGGCCTTGTTTCTTCTTTGAGAAGAGGCTGGACAGAAAGGACTTCAGTGTCCTTACTCATCTTGTAGCAGAGAAACCCTCCTGTGTGGCTGGTCTGACCAGCAGGGAGGAGGCTGGTTCCTTACAGTCACAGCTCTGTGCTTCCACTAGGAGCAATGGAATCAAGTCTCAGTAGGATTATTAAATATGGAATGGTAGCAAGCTATTTTTTAATCTCTAATGAGGGCAGAACAAGAGGGAATGAGCTGAAAAGAGGTTCATGAGAAAGTCTGTTAAAATGTACATAGAGAGATGACAGCAGGAAGGGAGGATATGGAATCTCAGTAAGATTTCGGTGCAGGAAAGAGCCCTGCCCATCTGAGAGTGAGGAAGATTCATCCAGCTGTGGCCAAGAGGACGAACCTTGGAAACCTTTGGGATCTTTCAATGGGTGTCCTACAACCATTCATCCCTCTCCTTCCAAAGTAATGAGAGCATCACACGTGACTGGACTTCATTTTTTTTAATAGATATAGATATAGATTTATATTTATATATAAAATAGTTTCTTACAAAAAAATCAACCAAACAAAAAATTAAAATCAACATAAAAAAACAAAAAACAAACAACAATAACAAAATTCAAACAGGAGCAGAGATGGGGCTGAGGCTTAGGGGAGGCCCCTGGCGCTGCCCTGAGGAGGAGGGGGTGAGAGGCTCAGGCGCTCAGTCTCCCTTCTGCTTGGGTGCTTGCACAGTCCCGTTGGCCAGAGCAGTGGGGCTACCTGGGGATGAGGCATTTGGTGTCTGGGAGGTGCCTCGAGAGGTGTGGGGGGGGCGCAGGTAGGTGCTGAAGAGCTTCCCATAGAGTGGGTCATGGAGGGAGAAGTTCTGGAACTGACCTGGACAAATCAGAGTGAGATGGGGAAAAGTGAAAAGATCTAAGAATGAGAAGAGGATCCCCCTGCTCTTTTCTCAGAACTAAAACATCTTGTCCCTCTACTCTGCCTAACTTCTCAAATCCAGGTTTTTGTCCTTTCTTCTTCTAGCCTGTTCCTCCCAGCCTCACTTCTCATAGGTTCTGATCTCCAGTACTGGCCATTAACCCTTATTCCCTCACAGCCCAGTGCTTTCCCTGGTGCCCCAAATGCCTTTGTAGGGCTGAGAAGGCAGTGACTCACAGAGGGAGAGGCCTTGGCTGGATCCTGCCTGGCAGAGCTCAGCATGCAAAGCTGTGGCAGCAGGGCGGGGTGAACCCAGCAGCAGGTGCAGGATGGTGCTGAAGCTGTCTTTGTACAGCAGGCGGTCGGGTCCCTCGGCTTGCTCTTCAGCAAAGAGCTTGGGAGACAAAGGGATGCAAGTCAACTTCTCTCCTCATGCCATGGCCTCACCCTGCCCCACAGATAAGCCTGACAGGCTCCTCCTCTTCCAAAAGCGTGGTGCACAAGCCTTCCCTAACCCTCAGTTTCCTTTCTGCAGAACTGTAGACTTTATAGCTTTTTCCTTCTTTTTGTTTCCAGTTAGGCCTCAACATAGAGGCTGAGACTTTGCAGTTTTAGGCAGTGTGGCACTAGGTTGGATACCAAGTGCCTGCTATCTAGAAGCTACTGGAAACAGCATACCAAACAGGCCTCCTGGAGTGGGGTGAGCATAGCCATTAAGTACCCCCTCTACTCCTCAGTACCTCAAAGGCCAGATGAGTCAGCTCTTCCAGGCTCCTGCTGCCATCCAGAGCTGCTAGTGCAAGGGCCACATCTCGAAAGTCCACCAAACCCTGGGTATCCTGGTGTGAAAAAGAAACCAGGGCAATGTGGGGACCCTGTACCCTGCTTCATGCTCTTTGGATTTTGGCTCCTCCTCTTCTCAGCAGATAATGGGGTGACCCCTGTGACTGCTCCCCTCAGAACTGTAAGCCCCAAACTCTTTAGGATCCCTGGAACTTCTCTCAGGTCATAGGCTTTCTCAAGCTATACCAGGTCATGTGGTGACAAAGCCTTTCCATAAAGGGATCTCCTAGGAATGTAAGGGAATCCCTCAGGAATGCTGCAGGTACTATGAAGTTTCTGACATGCCAGCGGAGGGCACTCCTGGTCCCCAGGCTAGACAAATTGGTTCTCTCTGACTTGGCCTATGTAGAAGAACTAGTCCAACAGATTGAAAGGGGGTCACTGGCATAATTTCTTATGAAAAACACAAGGATGATGGCTGCTGTCCCAGCTCCATGCGGGACCACGGCATTTGAATTTTGTTTCTGCTCTGCTACAGGCCAAGTGGGGGAAGCTCTTTTCATAGACCGTCTGCTCAGTCTAAGGAATCTAGATACCTGGTCACTCTCTGTCCCTTAAGAGGATGTTGAGAGTCACATTCTGCATCTCGATCAAAAAGCTCCTTGGGACCACTCTTGTTTGTTCATAAGCATTAAGAATCCTTTAGGACTTTGGTAACTTGATCAGGGAACTTGGTTAAATCTTGAGAAATACATGGCTTGCTAAGAATCTTGAGAAAATTCCTCTGGAGAAGCTATAGGGTATTTAAAAGAATCTGGCCAACTCCTGTAGATACATCTGGGTCTCAAAGCTCTCTACCACCTCACCTGTCTAGTGATATTTCTACTGTCATCTTTGCACGTAACCTTCATGACTCTTCTTCAAAGACCCTCACCCAGTGCCTCACAAAGTCTTCTTGATTCCCCACTTTTGCCAATCTCTAAAGTGGTTTCAGAAATTTATAGTCCTCACTGATTATTTCTCCCTTGTTTCTCCTCATGATGATGATAACATTGCTTTTCAATGCACTGGATGCTTGATTAAAAAATGAATCTTCAGTGGATCTCAGGGGATGGCCATCTAACAGCTGTTAGAACATCCACTGACTCCAAACTCTGAGTGACTGATACGGCCACTAGGAACATGTCAGCCTGGAGAGAAGCCTCGGTTCTGCTCTGCTCTGTGTTCTAGCTCCTTTACCTGCTGGAAGTAGCCAAAGGCACCAGCCACCGTCTGAGGATCGGAGAGCTGTAACTGCCTGGCAAACTCTTCCTGGCTGATCATTCGACTTCGGCCTGGCTCTGCCCCAACGTCCACATAGCCAGGGGACAGCCTACAATGGAATTGTTGAAGGCAGAGAGCTGTCTCAGTTTCCTTCTGGACATACCATCCAGCAGGACTTTAGCCCCAGTACCAAGAGTTCTACCAGGACAGGTTCAGCTGCTGTTTTTCTAAGATATACTGAGTGAGTCCCTTAATAGTCCTTCTTACTTTTTTCACCTGACTTATTATATATCCCTCCATTTATTCCCCACTTCCTTTTATTTACTCCATTATTTTTTTCCCCAGTTTTTTTCATTTTTGAGATTTTCCTTCCTCTTCATTTCTCCACTTCTCATTCTCTCTCTCTCTCTCTCTCTGTGACACCGCTCACACTCCCATTTTCAAGACCACTTACCCAGCCTTCCGAAGCACTTTTCCCAGTTCCCAGAGCTGTGGCTCCAACGCCACCTTCAGCCGTCCCACCACAATCACAGGTAAGCTCCCTACAAACTCACATTCGGTGGCTGGAATGCCCAGAGCCCTACACGATGAACAGGAATGGGATGGAGGGGAAGGAAACAGAAGAAACTCCTGAAGGTTCATTCCTGACTCTGGCCCACTGACTGGAAAAGTTGATCAGGCCCCTTTAAATCTCCCCTCCTCCATCTCAGCTGTCCAAGAGCCCTTCTCACTGCCTGCTCCTCAATCTTTGCTTGAAAACTCGCCCCCCTCCACCACCTTGTGGTTCCTTTGCCCTGTGTAACTGCTCCAGGAAATACTTTGTGGGGCACTCACTGTGCCATGACCCGCTGAACGTTGTTGGCATAGAGGGTGGGGTCCTTGCTCTCCTCAGGGCTGGGGTGATACACAGGAAGGAACTGAAACAGACACACACAATTCTTATCAGAACCTCAAAGTGAGGTATGACCACTCCCACCCTCTTTTCCCAAAGTTTCAGAGGTACGAGATGTCCATTCTCCCACCTCACCCATGAGGGCCATACCTCCACATCCACAATGCTGCAGGGCTGAGAGGCTGTGAGCCAGAGGACTTTGAGTCTAAGAGAAGAGAGATTTCAATGCTCACCGATCTCTAACTATGGGTTCCTTCCCTGGCTTCCAAACCCCACTCCCCTCCCCCAACCCAGGTGGGGAGTGGGAAAAGTTCTGCGCATTGATATAGGGACAGAATCCTAGCCATACGGTCAGCTGCGTGAATATGCAGTAGGGAGATACAAGGAAGGGCCAGAAACGTGGTAGGGAAAGTGAGAAGAGCGGCATGGATATGCCAGAGGAAGAACTGTAGGTTAGAAGAGGTGTGAGTAATGGAAGAAAAAGGCAAGGGCATGCCTGATAGTGATGATTCTCAAGAAGGGACAACCGAGGGAGAAAAATCACAGAAGCATGGGAAAATAAGTGCATAGGAGCCATAATTACAGTAGGAACAATTTAGGTAGGATAGCTAATCTAAGCATTGCTAGATTATATGGGGAGATCAGGGTAAAAGTGGCATCTCCTCTAGAGTTCTCTTGGTCCTCAGATGAAGAGGGGCCATTCACCTTGTCTGGAGATTGGAAGACAGGCAGGGATTCTCTGATGGACCCTGCACCCCACCCTCACCCCGGGAAATACCAGAACTCACACTCCAGGACCCCTCCATGCCCAGCTGGTGGTGTCCTATGGGAGAAACAGGTGAGGGCATAAGAGCATTACTTTTTCCCCCTGGAACTGGCCAATCACCTTTGAGCAGAGGGCCTGCTCCCACCTCTGGTCACACCCCAGTGCACATCCCATCATAGCACCAACAGTTTACACTTATTTCCATTTGGAGTGGATTTGTGTGCCCCCTTTCCACTCTTTCTTGGACTAAGACTCACCAGACTGTTGGGGTATCGGATGAGGACAGGCTGCACAGGCACTCCTGCAATGAAGGCTCCTAAATCCCATTTCCACCCCCACCCCCACAAGGCAGAGGTTAGTACACAGAAGTAGTTAGAGGGCATGAAGTATGGAGGTCTGGGACAGTTCTCAAATGAGATATGGTCTTGCTCCACTCATTGATAATTTTCTCTCTGACTCCCCAACTTATCAGCATTAGCTAGGAGGTTCCCTGTCTCCCTCCCTTCCTCTCCTATCCCTTCCACTCTTCCACTTCTTGGGTTATTTCAGAGTCCCTCCCCAACTCTGGAACTTCTTTTTCCTACAGCCCACCACCCACTATCATTTTATTCACCTGGTTTGAACTTAAGCAAAGCCTTCTTGTTGGAACAGGTGCCTTCAGGAAAGAATAGCACCTGGGAGGAAAAAAGCAGAAGGAGGTGAAGAAGGCTGAAGGCTGAGGAGAGAGGAAAGGGAAGTCTCTTCAGGAGGACATGGAAAGTGAGGAGACGGTCTTGAGACCCTTACAAACCTGTGGCCACTTGCCTCCTGAGGTGGCCCGCCTTCGGACCTCCTCCACCACTCTGCGACGAGAAGCTGGGTCATGCCGGGATACTAGGATGGCTTGGTTGAATCGAAGCAGGGCTGGGGTTTGGAAAGGATATGAAGAAGAATCACTTCATTCTTACCCAGGGGCAGTAACATCTGCAGCCTCCACTCTCTCAACAGTATAAGTTTCTGCTAGCTGTTTGCCCTGGGGCTGTCCTTTATAGCAGCTGTCCTTTTAGAGAACTGACCAGAACTCCCTGTAATACCTCTCTGTCCCAGCCCTCCGAATCTAAGACTGGTTGACCAATGGTGGTAATTTATATTTCATTTGCCAACAGTCCCTCCCCACTTGAGGCCAGTTCTTCTCTCCAGTGTCTCCATTCCTGACTTTTGCCCAGAGTTGTCACCCTTCCCCTTCACGACCCCGTTTGTTTGAACTCTCTCACCTCCAATAACAGGAACGGAAAGATTCTCAGCTCGGGATACAACTTTGGGCAAGTCACAGGGCAGCAGAACAATGGGGTCAAAGAAAGTGGAGTGTGGGGCAGCAACAAGGACAGGGGCTTGAAGGCGAGATGCTCGCTGACCCCGAACGCGAATCCGAAGGAAGCCCAGCAGGAAAAAGAGCAGGCGGCTCAGGCCCAGCACCCCATTGTGGCACACAGTCCTAACCAGGGCAAGGTTGGGTATCAGCGGAAGCAGTGGTTCTAACCCTCACCCACCCCCAGGTTCAGGCACTGGAGAAGTAGGGCACCTCTCTTTTACCCTTAAATAGGATGTGACAAAGGGGCCAAGGTCTCTGGCCACTTCGGGACACATCAGGGCATTACTTACAGGTGAGGTCTGGGAACCAGATCTGAGCTTGGCTGACTCATTCACCCAAGTTAAACAGAATAGTTTCAGAATCCTCCCTTTTCTTCTTCTCAAAGAGGGAGGGAAATAGACAGCAGGGAAGAGAAGAAGGGTCTCTGGGGGCTGACCTCCCACTTACTTCCTCCATCCTGTAATTGGCTCCTGAAGCTGCTCCTCACTAAGACCGGCCACTTGCAGCCAGGCAAAGGGCCAGAGGAGAAAGAGGACGACAAAGGCCAGAAGCACTCGGATGGGGGCCAGCAGTGCCCCCAGGAGGCAGAACTGCAAAGGGTGGGAGAGAATGCCACTTTAGGGCTTGGATATGCTCCCTCCACAGCATCTCTCTCCCACAAAGGATAGACCCAGGAGCAGACAGTCATCATCCCTTGCAGGTGATAGGTGGTGTGGGAACAGGAGAGAGGACTGGGACCCAAGGTGGGCTAAGGATACCAATGAGGGCAAGAGGATAAAAGATTAATGGGATCAAGGACCTTATTTTCCTATCTCTCAGTTGGTCCCTACCCCACCTATAAAACCGAATGTCATAAAATGCATCTAGCACTTAGAGGATTTAATAAGAATGCATGCGAAAGTGCAGGGTGCTGTGCTTGATGTACAGTAGGTTAGAGATAGGTCCCCCCCCCCCCACATCTTATTCCATAAATAGCTCCTATGCCCAACAGAAACCAGGTGCACAGATCTTTCCACTTTGGGCCTAGTACGCAGAGGGTTGTAAATACCGAGAGGTCCAGTTTTCAGGCCCGAGATCAGTTTCTAGCACTGCCCAACAGCAATCCCATACCACTGGGGGATACGGGAGACAAGAGCTCGGCCCCACTCCGCATGGGAGAGGTTGCCGGGAGCCAGATTGACTCCATAGGCTGCCTTGGGGAAGGAGCAGGTAAACAAACATAGCCCCTGGAGCCTGCCTCTGGGGAGGTGATGACAGCAGAAACCTTGGACACTCCCTCCCCACACCACCTCGCAGTTCCCCAAGGCTGGCGCGGCCCTACACTTCCTGTAGCCAACCCCCTTCTCAGCCTCCCTGCCCCCACCGGGAGGTGCTGCAGTGCGGGGTGGAGGGGGGTTGGAGGGAGTGGGAAGAGGGGGTGTACGAAGGGCTAAGGGTCGCAGGCTCCCGGCCCAGAAACGCCTTCCGTCTAAGTCAAGCCCCGGAGGAGAACTCGGCACGCCCCCGCCCCCACCCCCGGCTTCCCGTAGCCTCTAACTCCGTCCTAGTCGTCAGCCTCCGCAGGATGTAATCCGCATTCCCCAGCGTCCTTCATCTCTCCAAACCCTGGGTCCCCTGCAGCCCTCCATCCCCACCTACTCAGTTCTTCCACACCTTCGAGCTGTCCAGAGCCCAAGCCCGCAGCGTCCTCTCCAGGACTCCTTGCCCACCCCCGGCCGCCCCCACGTGCGCATCCCCGGACTCCCGCTCAGCAAGCCTCTCAGCCATCTCCTTCTCTAGGATCCCCAAGCCCACCTTTGCCAGGGCTCAAACGGCCCCATTTTCCTATCCCCACGGGTCCTCCCGACGCCCACTCCCCACACATTACCTTAACCCTCTGGAGGCGGGAGAGATGTAACTCATGTACGAAGGGGTTGGGGGGGGCTGGGGGTCCGGGGGTGGGATCGAGGGGGACCCAGTCCCCCGGACGTCCCTGGCTCATGGCAGGAGAAGGTGCGAGGCAGGGCGCCCCGGCCCCGGCCCCGGCCCCGGCCCCGGCCACCACTCTGCAGAGCAGCTGCTGCTGCAGCAGCGGCAGCGCTCTGGCCTGGGCCCCGCCTGGTGCTGGCCGCCGAGGGGCGGGGAGCAGGCGGCGCAGCCCAGCCCGCCCGCGTTGTCAGGGCGCCGGCCGAGGGGCGGGGCTTCCAGCGCCCGGGCGCCCCTGCTCCTCGGCGTTCGCCGCGGCGCCGGCAGCCCCAGGGTCATTGTTCCGCGGCGGCCAGGGCTGGAGCGGGCTGCCCCTGGGCTTCGGCCCCTCTGTCGTTCCTGTTTGGAGACTCCTGGCCTCAGCTTCGGAGCGGGAGTGGGTCTCGGAGCTGGGCACGGAGCTCAGAGGGTCCTTGGTCCCCGCCCGGGCGTCGAGGTCACCCAGCGAGCGCAGATCGGGGTGGGGCCCTTGAGTTGGTGGGCTGGGAGGGACAGGTGGGCCGGATGCGGAGGCCGGCAGCTCGGGCGTGAGGCGGGAACCTGCTCTGCCTGTAGACTTCCTGGCCCCGTCCGCACCTCCTCGCAGTCCGACCACCTTTCCTTCCCGGTTCGGGGAACGCCATCGCGCGGAGACTTGAGGCACTTGAGTCCTCTGGCGGCTGCATGGCGCCCCGCAACTGTCCACCTCCGCGTCCTGCCTGCGCTAGGCAGGGCCGCCTTTACTGGTGTGAAAGTTGCTTGAATCCCTGAGGCGCCAGGAATCCCCAGTACACTGGCCCATGTGCTTCCCATGAGCCCGACAAGGCCTGGCCGGGGAGAAGCAGTGGTTCTGATCTCAGTCTCTCTGGGTGAACACAGAGGACACAGTAGTAATTCCCCTCATCCACAAGCTCCAAGCTATCCTACTGTTTAGCCTCAGGCCATGGTGAGATCGGGGACCAGGGAAGTAGGTGGACTCTGAGATCCATTGCCATGACAAAAGGGGTAAGAGTCTCATTGCTTGAGGAAAGAATCTACCCTAAGTTCACTTTATTTCTTCTGCCCAGTGAATGGCAATTAGGGCAGCTGAAGGAGAAAGTGAAAGAAAAAGATACCTCTCATAACCAAGAGTGTTTGCGGCCACTGGCTTCTCCTTTAAATCAAACTCCAGATTAATCCGCTCCAGGAAATGTTCTGAGCCCAGGCTGAGAGGGTTGAAGGCTCATGCATCCTACTGAGAGTAGGAGCTACACTGGGATATTTTTGTATATAACACAGAGGAGGTCCCAACACAAATACGTCATTTCCAAATTTTATTTTTGTAAAGATAGGGTCTCGCTATGTTGCCCAGACTGGTCTTGAACTCCCAGTCTCAAGTGATCCTCCCACTTCGGCCTTCCAAAGTGCTGGGACTACAGGTATGAGCCACCGTGTCCAGTTCAAACTTTTTTTTTAAGCAGATGATTTCAGCTTTGTACATTCTCACCAGAATCGAGAAAGTACAACTTAATTTATTAATCTCCTTTGCCTTTGGGGAAAAGGAGGGGTGAGAGAGAGAGAGAGACAGAGAGAGAGAGAGTGTTAGTTTCACTCTTGTTGTCCAGGCTGGAGTGCAATGGCACAATCTCGACTCACTGTGTCTTCTGTCTCTCGAGTTCAAGCGACTCTTTTGGCTCAGCCTCCCAAGCAGCTTGGATTACAGACACCTGCCACTATGCCTAATTTTAATTTTTTTTTGTATTTTTAGTAGAGATGGGGCTTCACCATGTTGGCCAGGCTGGTCTCGAACTCTGACCTCGTGATCTGCCTACCTCGGCCTCCCAAAGTGCTGGGATTACAGACATGAGCCACCGTGCCCAGCCTAGAAGGAGGTTTAAGGACTAAGATAATGTTCTGTTCATAAGGTGGGAGACAGGGAAAGATGAGAGTGTAGGGAAGTTTAAATTTTTCCCTTGAATGTTTGATAATTTGAGTCTATAAAACAAACTGATTACACAGATTAATGGGAAAAGAGGCCTGCAAATTTTATTTGATGTATACGTGTGTGGGAGTCATACAAAATATAAAAACTCAAAGAAATGGCCAAATGGTTGCTTTTATACCACCTTGAGATTGCAGAGATTACAGAAAGAATGGGGCCTGCATCTGGGCAAGACAGGTTATGGGAGGGAAGAAGAAGAGGCCTGGGTAGCAAAAATGGTCTTGTTGAACAAATGAAATCTCACAGATTTAGAAAGAATAGATGGTAAAGGTTTCTGTCAGACCTTTAAAGATGTCAGACTTGCATGCTCTGCTCATGTACCCCAAAACCTATAATCCAATAAAAAATTAAAAAAAAAAAAATAAAGATGTCAGACTCTTGATCTTTCCTAGATCTGGACAAGGGAGAGCACCAGAGAAAGCCTGTCTGTGTCAATGCAGAGTCTCTGCAGATGCACCTTTCCCCCACAAAAGACAACTTTACAGGTCTTCTGAACAGTTATTTCAAAATGTGTCAAATTCGGAATGAAATTTTTTGGTACCCTTCAAGAGCATTTAGTAGGTACTATGAAAACCCAACTAAAAGGCTAGAGTTTTGGTAATCAAATATTTGCTAGTGTCAGTCATCCAGGATGAACTAGAAAGGTCATTGCTACGACTGAGTCATGAAAGCATCCGCATCTCCCCTTTTTCTAGCCCCTCACCAAAATATTATGGTGGCCTTTCTGTAGGCAGTCTGAGAAGGGGCAACCCAGGTAAAGAATAACCTTGAGAAATTGATAATCTCTGGTAGTATCTGTCACTCCCTTCAAAATATCCACCAGGCTAGACAGGTTCCTCCTCCACTTGAACCCTGCATCTTTATCAGTCACGGTTACCTAGGGGTAATGGAAACAATGACAGATCACTGGAATTCTGGATCATTGGATACCGTTAATCTTCTATTGGAAGGGGGACCAGGCAGAAGCCCGAAGTCACTCCTATCTAAACTCCCTCCCAACCTCCCATACTTTATATCCTCAAAGAGAGCAGTCAACATTCTCAGTGTTCTTTTCTTCTTCATCTTCTCCCCCTCCTCCTTCACCTTCTCCTCCTCCTTTCCATCCTTTTTCCTCCTTCCTCTTCTTCCTTCTTCCTTCTCCTCCTCCTCTTCCTCCTCCCCTCCTCCTTTTCCTCTCCACTTCTCTTCCTCCCCCCTTCCCTTCCTTCCCTTCCTCCTCCTCCTCCTCCTTCACTCCCCCTCCTCCCACCTCCTTTTCCTCCCCTACCTTCTGCTTTTCCTAAGAAGAGATAGGGTCATGCTTTGTTGCCCGGGCTGGTCTTGAACTCCTGGGCTCAAGCCATCATTCTACCTTGGCCTCCCAAAGTGCTGGGATTATAGGTGTGAGCCACTACACATGCCTGTCCTTTAAAAATTTTTAATTTTATTAATCTTACTTTTCATTTCTTTTAAATAGAGATAGGGTCTCATGTTGATCAGACTGATCTAGAATTCCTGGCCTCAAGCAATCCTCCTGCCTCAGCCTCCCAAAGTGTTAGGACTACAGGTGTGAGCCAGCACACTAGGCCAAGATTTATTTCTGTTATGAACTGAATGTTTGGGTCTCTCTTACCCTCAGTTCATGTGTTGAAGCCCTAGACCCCAATGTCATGGCTATTTGAAGGAAGAGTCTTTGGGAGATAATTGGATCTAGATTAGGTCATGGGGTAGGACCCTCATGAAGGGGTTAGTGCCCTTATAAGAAAAGAGGGAGGGGGGGGAGAGAGAGAGAGAGAGAGACAGAGACAGAGAGAGGTGGGGGGGAGAGAGAGAGAGAGAGAGAGAGAGAGAGAGAGAGAGAGAGAGCGCTCTTTCTTTCCATGAGTACATATGGAGGAAAGGACATGTGAGCACACAGTGAGAACACAGCTGTCTACAAATCAGAATATCAGCTCTCACCAAGACACCAAATCTGCAGGCACCTTGATCTTTGACTTCCCAGCCTCTAGAACATGATTAATAAATTTCTGTTCTTTAAGTCACCCAGTCAATGGTATCTTATTACAGCAGCCTGAGAAGATTAAGACAATTTCTTAAAGGTTCTTAGAGAAGATTTCATAGCTTTCCTTTATCTACTACTTAAAGGAGGGCAGGTTTCTGTACATCTTGTGTTTTCCAAGGTAGTTCTAATAATTTTTAAATTTCATTTTTTTTAAATTAAGGCAATTTATACATGCATAGTTACACATACTTTTATTTTTATGCCTTTAATACTTTATTTTTAATGTGTGCACTTTTATTAAACTGGTCTCAAGTCAGTGTACAGGTGACCCCTTGCTACTTTCACACCTCCACCCAATCCCAGGGAGACCAAAAGCCTTCATATACTTCAAGTTGGGGAACAAAAAGTAAGGCCACAGTGGCTCATTCAAAATAAAACAAAATAAAACAGGCCAGATGTGGTGGCTAAAAAATTACTAAAAAGAAACATCAAGGGTAAGGGGAATTCTGGCAAAAGTGACCTAAGAGGATTTTTGCTGAAGGCAGGCCAAGGTGGTAAGAAATTGAGGGTGGGGGATAATGAATTTGATCAGACACCAAGAGTGGGGGAGTTCTGCTAAACTGACCCAGTAGGGCTCTTGCTAAAACTGGATTAAGTGGAGGCAAACAAAGAAGCCCAAAAGTCAGGGCCCGGTTGAGAAGAGTTCAGAAGAGTGTGGCCTGAGTTAGGTAAAGAGAGTGTGAATAAAACTCATAGGAGGTAATTGGTTTGACTATATTCCTTCACCAGGCCTGATAGACCACACAAAAATGCTGAAATTCCACATCACCAAGATGAAGTTGTTTATCGCATTTTCTGAGAAATCTGGAGAGAGATAATAGCCAAATTCCCAAATGGGTCAGTTTTAGCTGCCATG